GCATGAAACATACTTTTTTCCTGATGTAAGTATGTATGTATATACCAAAAGGATTCCAAAATAAATACAGAGATTTTTAAAGAAACAGAGCAAAACACAGAGTATGTTTATTCATGTTTTGAGGGACTTACATATTCATTTTGGAACTTTGGGTGTAAATAGTAATTAATGATAAGTTTCGGGCTTTGGATTGAAAAAAAACATCAATTAAAAGAAAAAAGAAGTCAACGAAACGCCAAGTTAGAAAAAAGGTCAACGACTTTCGCAATTTTCGCAGAATTCTCGTATTCAAAGAGTATAATATATGATTATCTTCAATTTACTTATATACTACTACTTTTTTTTTTTGGCTAAAAAATTACTACTTTTTAACGAAGTTTAAGGAGAAAAAACGTTCATTAATTGGCCAAGAACATATGTGTATGTCCTTTTTGAATCTTATAGTTAAACTGAGCAAATCAACATGAGCAAGAGAGTGACTCTTAAGTCTTAATTTGATCGAAGTTGTGTTCGAGCTTTGGTATTTTAGGTCTCATTATATATAAGTAAAGATCTTTTAAAAAACCTTACGAGTTGATGCCCAAATTACCTATCTCCATTATGTATCAACTATTTCAGCTACTATTTTTTTTATAACTATTTCAGCTACTTCATCATACGTGAAAGTCTACGCTTTTTGGGAACAACCAGGTTTATCAAAGAAAATGTGACCGAAACATATATATGAACTTAGAGGTCCTATAAATTTAAGCTCTAAGTCATAGTTTTTCTTCCCTGTCAATTGTCATTTGGACCGATTCTGATAATGTAGCAAACTCGAGCTTGAACATTTTTCCAAATGGACCTAAGTTTAAAAACTTGCTAAAAAAAGCCCTGTGCAAGAAGATGCTGTGGATCACGCAGTTGAAGTCTTTAGGGCGAGAAATGGTTTGTGTAACAACTAACAAGTATACATACATATTAATACATTGATGGATATTTTGTTTAAAGAGAAGCAAGAATCTGAGTGGAAAGATACCATTCATTGATTCATAAGAACAAAAGTTTCAATTAAACCTCTCAACTCCAAAATGTTTGAGATTACTTTGAAACTGCAAGATTATGTTGATTGTAAAAGACCTCTAATCACACAACTTTCGTATATATGAACAATAAAAGTACAAAATTGTGGGTGTTGCCTCTCATTCGTCAAACTCCGTTATACATATTGTATATAAATATTTTTAAAATATGCGAAATCCAAAATGATATCAATAGTAGTCAAATAGAGATGATTTTCCTTTTCGTATTGAATTAAATATAAAAAGATTACCAAAATTATCTCTGACTCTAATTCTAGACTGTAATTTTCCTTTTCCTTTTGCAATAAACACAATTTGCCTGAGAGTAATAACTAAACACCTAAGACTAACTATGTCGTCATCTCCGAAACAATAGCTTCTAATCTCAATACAAAAAATTTCACAAGAAAGAAGTAAAAAACAACATTATTACCGTTCATGTCGACATTGTCTCCCATAAGAAGAATTACACAAATTTTCCATATATTTAGGACCTAACATCTCCAAAAACCTCTGTAAACAAAAAACCTTCTTATAAATATAAGCAGAGGTGAGTTGTTCACTGTTACAAAAACCCACAAAGGAAGAAAAAAAACAAAAAAAACCCTAACTTTCGTCAAAAGCCAAAGATGAGTAAATTCCAAAAAACCCTAATTTCAGTTTTCTTTCTCTGTTTAGTTATCCTACCTCTTCTAGTCTCATCCGCGGAGGAAGAAAACGAATGCGGTGGTGGCTCCAACGGAGGAGGAGGCTCTGCTTCAGAGAAAGCAAAGATTCTTAAATACAAGATCGGAGCTTTCTTCTCTATCTTAATCGCCGGAGTTTTCGGAGTCTGTTTACCTATCTTCGGCCTCAAGTCAGAGAGCAATCTCTTCATGTTCGTCAAGGCATTCGCCGCCGGAGTAATCTTAGCCACCGGTTTTGTCCACATTCTTCCCGATGCCACCGAGAGCCTCACGAGTCCTTGCATCGGAGAAAACCCACCGTGGGGAGATTTTCCGGTGACAGGACTCATGGTAATGTGTGCAGCGATTGTGACAATGTTGATTGAGTCGTTTGCTTCAGGGTTTTTGAATAGATCTCGGTCGGAGAAGGTAACTAAGACTTTGCCGGTGAGTAACGGTGGAGATATGGAGGAGCATAATTCTCACAATGGCTCTGCTCATACTCATGCCTCACAAGGACATTCTCATGGATCTCTTCTTGTTCCTCAAGATGATGATCACATTGATCTAAGAAACAAGATTGTAACTCAGGTACATAAAAACATAAAACCCAATTGCCAAAATCCAAACTTTTCTCTAGTATTTGAACAAATTCTCGTTTTTGAACAAAACCCATTTGCCAAAATCCAATATTTTCTTCAAATTTGAATGAATAATCGATTTTTAAACAAACACATTTGCTAAATTGATTAGTATTTACTCACTTATACTTTCTTTCTTCTTATGGTGTGTTTAGATATTGGAATTGGGGATTGTGGTTCACTCAGTGATAATAGGAATATCTTTGGGAGTATCTCCAAGTGCAAGCACAATAAAGCCTCTCATAGCTGCAATTACATTCCATCAATTGTTTGAAGGTTTTGGTCTTGGTGGTTGCATCTCTGAGGTAAAGCTTAAATCTTTTTTTTTTTCTCTCTTATATATGATTCTGAGAATGTAAATGGACAAACTTTTTCATTGTTTTGGTGCAGGCAAAGTTTAAAGTTAAGAAGATTTGGGTTATGGTGTTATTCTTTGCACTCACGGCACCACTAGGGATCGGAATCGGTATTGGAGTTGCTGAGACTTACAACGAGAATAGTCCCATGGCCCTAAAAGTGTCCGGTTTTCTCAATGCCGCGGCCGCGGGGATCTTGATTTACATGGCGCTTGTTGATTTGGTAGCTCCATTGTTCATGAACCACAAAGCTCTGAGTAGTATGAAGATACAATTAGCTTGTAGCGCATCACTTGTTCTTGGTGCTGGTTTGATGTCTCTTTTAGCTATTTGGGCTTGAAAAAGCTCTGTTTCTTGAGGTTTTTTAGAACAAAGAAAGAACATTTTGATTCGGATTTGGATACAATGATATATATTATCAGTCGATTCTTTCCAAGATGCTATAAGGTCTTGTGAAGCGGTTATGACGAATAGACTGTGAATCGAAATCCGAATGAGTAGCAACTATTTGGGGACACAACAGCAAAATCACTCCACAACCTGCAAAACAGGAAGTAATAATGATATTTGGCAATTGGAAGATTTTGTAATGAGTCAAATTGACTTTCACAACTTTGGCTCTTCATAAAAGCATAAAGCTTTTGTATTGCGCAATCAAGAGACCTAAAAAATGCTTGTCGAAACGATCCGTTTTCATCTTCTGGATATTCAGGGAATAACCCTTCAAAAAGGATATGC